ATATATATATATATATATATATATTGTTAGGGTGATGCTGTCGGGAGCAGAAAGGACTAGGGTGCCTCAATGACCTTCTGTTTAGAGTGATGCCACCCTTTGTAGTACCCGATGCCGACAGCACGCGCTCACGGGGAAAATACAAAGAAATCGACGAAAACAAAATGTCGCCGCAGCGCAGTCAGCGCCACACACGCGTGCAGGGACACGCTCTTTCACGCGCTTCTGAACAACAAATAAATGTAAAAGTGGGAACAAAATGGCCAGATGTCTCCACCCTAAGCAAAGCGCACATGAAGGCACCCTAGAAAGGACAGGACAGTACACGATGATAGAACAAACATACGATTTATGGAGGCCGAGCCGGCGAGCGGGGCCTGGCGCGAGATGGTCGTGCGCGCCACTGCCTCGTCGTCGTCTTCACCTTCCTAACAATATATATATATATATATACAAGCCTTTTTTTGTTGTTGACGCGTAGTTTTCGCAATATCAAATATCGAAACATATAGGAAAATTATTGAATTCCGCACTTAACTTTTTTTAATATTGTGTTTAAGTGCTCGGTTTTAATTAGAAACTTCATGAGCATCATCGAAAAACACTAAATCAACAAATTGCAGAACGATACAAGGCAGGCGAAGCATTTTACGGCCTCCTAAAAAACCGTACGAATTCGGAGCGCATCTCGGCCCCGGTGGCACCGCGCCCCGTGGAGAGATAGGGCAAACAGCCTCTGCTGCGTCGCGCGATGACAGCGCAGCAGAGGTTGGTTGCACTATTTCTCCACGGGGCGCGGTGCTGGCGGTGCTGTCGGTGCCGAGATGCGCTCCGAGAGAAAACCGAAACTTAAAAACCTGTCGAAATTGTGCGGTTTTTCAGAAAGCCGTATATTTCTGCACGTGCCTTCTATAGTTTTGCAATTTATTGATTTGTTGTGTTTTCGATGATGCTCAGCAAGTGTCTAATTGAATCCAAGCCCTTAAATACAATATTAAAGATGTTAATTACGCAAAAATAAATAACAATCTAATTATCCCGGACTTCAGTAATTTTCCTGAATGGAAAATTATTGAAGTTTGGTCCTGCATCCCAAGAGCAAAACGAAACGAGCCTTTTTTTAGTTGCGATGTGTAGCCTTGGCAATATCGAATTTGTCCCCTTTTCGTGAAACACCCTGTATATATAGAGAGGGAGGTTTTTTTGTTTATTTTTTAAAGCTTAACAGATTTGTTTTAAAAAAGCCGTGAAGGTTACACTTATGCCGCTTGTGGAGGTGAGTTATACGGCCTGGGGTACATATTATAAGGAGCTAATCGTAACAATCACTTGACTAAATAACAGAAAGTCGTTAATTAACTTTTTAATTAATGAAGATAGACATATGGTTCCAATTAGAAACTTGCTCAGCGTCATCGAAAACCACCAAATCAGTAATTTTCAGAAAGACTTTGAGCGCGTGAGACGAGTAGTAGTGCACTAAAGTTACCATTCGTGGTGCAGGTACAAAGCTAGCGGTTGCGACAAGGCGCCCGCGCGATTTTTTTGTACGTGCTCCACGAGTAATAACTTTAGAACAGTACCACGCTTCTCACGCGCCGAAAGTCTTTCTGAAAATGACTGATTTATTGGTTTTTGATGACGCTGAGCAAGTTTCTTATTGGAACCATATGTCTATTATCATTAACTAAAAAGTAAATTAACAAATTTTAAATAATTAGACGACTGATCATCACGATTAGCCCCTATAATATATCCCCCTGGCCGTATGACTCACCTCCACAAGCGACATAAGCCTAACTTTCGTGGCTTTTTTTCAAACAAATCTGTTAAGCTTAAAGAAACACCCTTTATATATATATATATATATATATATATATATATATATATATATATATATATATATATATATATATATATATATATATATATATATATATATATATATATATATATATTGTTACGGTGAAAGATGCTTTATTTACAGACGATTAAGGAGGGTTGTAGGAGAAGGATGAGGTGGGTGCTTCGAACTTGAGGGATCCGGCGATTGGGCTCTTCTTCCTTTTCCCCTGCCTGATTGCCCGTCTTTGTTTCCTTCCTCTTCGTAAGATTACCCCCCTCGGTAAGAAAACGACGTCTCGTCGTTGAGCTACGGGGCCGACGGTGCGATGTATGGCTTTAGACGGAGCACGTGCACTGTGTCTCGTTGTTTGCGGCGTCCGTCGTTCTGTTGATGGAGGGGTTCTATTACATAGGTGACGTCACTAGATTTGTGGCAGATCCGGTAGGGTCCAATGTAACGATGTTGTAGCTTGTCGGCCAATCCGACATGGCGCTGCGGTGTCCAAAGAAGGACAAGATCTCCGGGAGAAAAACTAACATGCTGGTGGGAACTGTCATACCGAGTGCACTGGCGCTCTTGAGAATCGAGTGTGCGTAGACGAGCTAATTGGCGGGCGTCTTCGGCTCGACTTACTGCATCGGATGCGAATGCTGTTAGCGAAGCGTCTGGTTGAAGTGGAAGGAGAGAATCAATCATTAAGGGAGGTTCACGGCCAAAGAGTAGATAAAATGGCGTGAAGAATTATATGCAAAAGTGATATAGGGTAAGGCGGCGTCCCAATTGCTGTGATCGGACGAGACGTACATAGACAGCATGTCGGATAATGTCCTGTTCAATCGCTCGGTCAATCCATTTGTTTGTGGATGATAAGCGGTGGTGACTTGATGGCGTACGGAGCAGGATTGCAAGATTTCTGAGACCACGCGCGAGAGGAAAGAACGTCCACGATCGCTGAGAGGTTCTCGGGGAGCTCCGTACTTCAATATGACGTCCTCCAATATGAAATTGGCTAGGTCAACAGCAGTACTGGTTGGAAGGGCGCGGGTGATCGCATAACGAGTGGTGTGGTCTATTGCAACTGCGATCCAGCGGTTGTCAGTGCGTGACAAAGGAAATGGTCCTAGGAAATCAACTCCGAGTCGCTGGAATGGGCTGAGCGGAGGGTGCAGTGGTTGAAGGAGTCCTGATGGTCGAGTATGTGGTTTCTTTCGACGTTGACAAGGGTCACACGAGGAGACATATTTCTTAACAGTTTGATACATGCCAGGCCAATAAGAACGTTCCTTAACCTTTGTGTAGGTGCGAAGCAGACCGAGATGACCTGATGAAGGGACGTCGTGTAGTTCGTTGAGAATAGTTATCCTTAGGTGTTTAGGAACAACTACAAGCCACGGTAATCCATCTGGTCTGAAATTTTGCCGGTATAGAATGTCGTTTCGAATGCGAAAGAGTCCTGAGGGTGGCTGGTTTAGGTTTGACGTTAGATGTTCAATGTGAGCTCGAAGAGCTGGGTCACGGCGTTGTTCCTGGGCAAGGTTGAGGAGGTCTGAGATTGGAAGGACAGGCAGTTCAGTGTCATCTGAGGAATCGACTGGGCTCACTGGGTAGCGGGACAAACAGTCAGCATCTTGGTGCATTTTTCCGGATTTGTATACGATGGTAAAGTCGTATTCTTGAAGTCGAAGCGACCAGCGGCCGAGGCGGCCAATGGGATCTTTCAAGGACGACAGCCAGCAGAGCGCGTGGTGATCAGTTATGACACGAAAGGGACGCCCGAAGAGGTATGGCCGAAATTTACAAATTGACCATACCACAGCCAAGCATTCCCTCTCAGAGATGGTGTAATTACGTTCAGCTGGCGAAAGGAGGCGGCTGGCGTAGGCAATTACTCGTTCTGTACCAAGTTGATGTTGCGCAAGAACAGCTCCGATGCCGTGACCACTGGCATCGGCTCGAATTTCGGTGGGTGCCGTGTCGTCGAAATGTCCAAGAATGGGGCTTGATGTCAAAGCAGCCTTGAGATATCCGAACGACGAGTGGTGTTGATGGTGCCATTCGAAAGGTTGATTCTTCTTGAGGAGAGAGGACAGTGGTAGCGCGGTGTGTGCAAAGTCTCGAATGAAGCGGCGAAAGTAGGAGCAAAGCCCCAAAAAACTCCTAACGTCTTTCGTTGATTGAGGTTTGGGAAAATCTTTGACTGCCTGAATTTTTTCTGGGTCTGGGAGGATACCATTTTTGTCGACGAGATGTCCCAGGACTTTAATTTGCTGACTTCCGAACCGACATTTTGATGAGTTGAGTTGTAGTCCAGATTGTTGAAAAACTTCAAGAACTTGCTGCACACGTTCGAGGTGCTTGGAGAATGAGTCAGAGAAAATGATTACATCATCGAGGTAGCATAAGCAGGTTACCCATTTTAGGCCTTTGAGGAGACGATCCATCATTCTTTCGAACGTGGCTGGCGCATTGCAAAGGCCAAAGGGCATCACCTTAAATTCGAAGAGTCCATCAGGTGTGATGAACGCAGTTTTCTCGCGGTCCGATTCGTCGACGCTGATCTGCCAATACCCCGAGCGTAGGTCAATGCAGGAAAAATATTCAGCGCCATATAAGCAATCGAGAGTATCGTCGATACGGGGCAGAGGGTACACATCTTTTTTTGTTATCTTGTTTAATTTGCGGTAATCGACGCAGAAGCGCCATGATCCGTCCTTCTTTTTTACTAAGACGACAGGAGAGGACCAAGGACTTGACGAGGACTGGACAACGTTTTGTGACAGCATCTTATTAACTTCATGTTGGATAGCGCGGCGTTCGCTCGGTGATACTCGGTAAGGACGGTGGTGGATTGGAGGTTCAGTACCGGTGTCGATTCGGTGAGTAACTGCATTTGTCTGGCCAAGAGGACGACTTGGAAAGTCAAAGATGGTGTGGTACTTGGAAAGTAGGTCGTGAAGTTGATGGATCTTATCCTCGTCCAAAGTCGGATCAATCATGGTTGTAATGCTGGCCAAGGCAGGGCTCGATAGTTGCGTTGCGACGGTGCTTTCTGATTGTTCCTCGGAAATGGCTGCGACGACACAATTGATTGTAGGGAAACTTCGCGCAATAGTCATACCTTTCGGTAATATTTGATGACTCTGACCAATATTGACTACCCATAAATCTGTGGCACCACTTTGGATAGTTGCGACGCAGTGTGGTAATGCAAGTTGCCTTTCAAGCAAGATGCTCATATTTGGTGTGACAATGTAGTCACCGTCTTGGATCGAGTGGGTCGTTGTGACATTTATGGCGGCAGCAGACAAGGGAGGAATGCGTGATGTCTCAAGACAACATAATTTGGACACAACCGAGTCAGAAACGTCGCAGGACTCACTGGTATCGAGCTCAATCTCGCCTTTGGCACAGTCGATGAGGGCCGAATGTGAGGAAAGAAAGTCCCAGCCGAGGATGATCTCGTGGGGACAGGTTATAAGGACTGTAAAAAGGATGAAGGTAGTCTTGTTGTTAACAATTATGCGAGCGCCGCACATGCCATGAGGTGAAATAATGCCGCCATCTGCACCGCGGAGCGTTTTCGTGTCAGGTGGCGTCAGTACTTTTCGTAAGCGTCGTCGGAGGTCTTCGCGCATTATGGAAATTGCGGCTCCAGTGTCGACAAGGGCTAATGCGCTAATACCGTCAATATGAACCATGAGTCGATTATGAGATGTAGCGACGATATTCTGTAGAGGATTTGCGGCTATAAACTGTGATGCAGCCTCACCTCCTGAAGCTGCATGGTTCAGTTTTCCGAGGGTCGAAGATCATGGGACGGTGAAACGGGGCGGCGAACGAGTGGGGACAATGATTGGCGGCGACGCGGGGACTGAGGGCGAGGGTTTCGCGATGAGCGATAGAATGTTGCATCTTGGCTTGGGTAGTCATCAGAGGGTGAAGCGAAGTTTCTATTGTAATAACGACCGTCATTGGTGGGTAGAGACGTCCGGTTGTTTGGTTGTCGGTTGTTCCAGCGATTTCGACAATAGCGGGCGACGTGACCAGCCATACCGCAAGTAAAACAAATGGGTCGGTTGTCGGGGGTCCTCCACGTGGCGGGATCACGTCGGTGGTACGGTCTGAAGGATGGCGTCGCAGTTGAAGATTCACAGGCGCAGCATTGGGGTGTCTGTGCCTGTTGATCAAATGATGGTCGAAGACTTGGACGCGGCGAGCCGCCGAACTTCTCCATTTCTTGCCTGACGACAGTTTTAACGGCGGCGATGGATAACTCGCTAGTCGATGAGCGGGGAGACGGGGAAACACCGTCAGCGGGCATCATCGCCTCCGGTTCTCGGCGGACGATTTTCGTGATGCGCTCTGTGTTAGTATCAGGGTCTTCACAAGATGATGTTGCCGGGGTGTTTGGCAAACGGTTGAATTTGTGCGCTATCCTGCGAGTCTTTGCAGCTTCGAACCTGCGGCACTCTTTCAGGACGTCGTCGACAGTCGAGCAATCCTTAATGACAAGTAGCTGGAAGGCATCATCTGCGATGCCTTTGAGGATGTGTTCCATCCGTTCGATTTCTGGCATTTCGGGGTTAGCTTTCCTGCACAGAGATAGGACGTCTTGGATGTAGGTCACATATGACTCGGTCGATGTTTGGACTCTGGATGCCAGCTTTCGCTTGGCCGAGAGCTTGCGACCGGTTGGACGTCCGAAGAGGTCCTGAAGCTTGGCTTTGCAGAGGTCCCACGACGTTAGTTCCTCTTCATGCGTTTCAAACCATGTTCGGGCGGTGTCACGCAAGTAGAATATGACATTCGCCAGCATGATAGTGCCATCCCAGCGGTTGTGGACACTTACTCTTTCATAGAGGTCTATCCAGTCTTCAACCTCCTGGTCTCCTGTGCCGGTGAAAAGGCCAGGATCTCGCGGTTTGGCGATAACCAGTGAAGGCTGCGGCGGAGCTTGAGCGCCTTCGGGTGGTGTTTCGGAACTGGAAGTCATGTCGGTGGGAGGTTGGCGACGTCTGCTTCGTGTGTCCAGGTCGGGGCCGATCCGCACCTCCACCAAAGAATGTTACGGTGAAAGATGCTTTATTTACAGACGATTAAGGAGGGTTGTAGGAGAAGGATGAGGTGGGTGCTTCGAACTTGAGGGATCCGGCGATTGGGCTCTTCTTCCTTTTCCCCTGCCTGATTGCCCGTCTTTGTTTCCTTCCTCTTCGTAAGAATATATATATATATATATATATATATATATATATATATATATGTTGTAGCGGTGCTACTGGGCCGCATGCGAGAATCCACCCAGGACCACGACGATACGTGCGCAGGTGGCACGGGACCGACTAACGATCTCTTCTAATCTGGCAATTACAATACCTAGTAAATTAGCTCCATAACATTGGTGTCAGAAGTGGGATTGCAGGTACGGCACCTCATGCAACTCGGGATGCATTCCGCCAGGATGAAAGTCTTCTGAGACGTGGTCGGCACCGCCGTCTCATACAGCCATAGGGTTGCGGCTGGATTACCTCAAGCCGCACATCTTCATTCCGTAGCTTCCATGGACGATTCACCACTTCACCATAATTTCATGACTATTTCGTGGCTTTGAAATGAAGATCTTGCGTTGGCCGATGTCCACTTTTGCATTCAAAACTTCAAGCAGTCGAGGCGCGTAAGTGCGTGCTGGCCTTATCACTTTGATGGTCGTTGTGGTCATTCACGTTATAAGGCCATAAGTGGCAATCTTCTAAAAACGTTCCAGCTTCTCCTGAGTTTCGACCTCACCGGCGCTTTTCATTTCCGGTGTTGATGATAAGGATGCGCAAACGTGCAGTGTTGTTTGTACCGATATTATCTGTGCCGGCATCAAAGTTCTACTGAGGCATATCACCAGGGGTGACGGAAACGGAAGCTACCTGAGGCCAGGCGAGAAGTGTCTGCGCAGACATTGCGGAGGAACTGTGACTTAAGCGTGAAATTCGTGAGCGTGTAGAAGAGCGTCGGCCACTACCACTGCTAAAAGAACTGTCTATATTTAATCGAACTCGGCGAGGTTGTTTAGCAGAATAAACCACCCTGGGAAGACACTTCACTAAAAAAAGGAAGAGGTTTGCGCGTCTAAATTTAGTGTTTTACAAAAAGCCGAAAAATGCTGCCCCGGCGTTATATCCTTTCACAAATAGTTGAATCAGTGGTTTTCGATGATGCTCTAGAAGTTTCTAATTGAAACCATATGTCTATTTTTAGTAATTAATAGGTTAATAGGCAAATTTTAATGATTAGCCAACTTATCGGAAATATTAGCCACCCACATAATGTCCGCCTGGCCGTATAACCCACTTGTACAAACCGCATTACTCTAGCTTTAAGGTATTTTTTGTTTTTTTTAAACAAATGTGTAAGAATAAAAAAAGAAGATCCTGTATATATACATATTGCAATCTCCTTCCATAATTAATGTTAAATTTCCTCTTCCTACGAACCTCAATAGAGACTCTATAAATACTGTAAACGGGGAAATATTACTTCGTGGTGGGCGGTACAAAACCTGAAATGTAATGTTGTCTTGTTTTATAGTTAATATCTCATAATCTATAGTAGTTACCGAAGGCTATTTCAATAGTCTATGTTTAATACCATCTTTAATGTGATAGCTCACGCCATCATTGCGTTTACCAGAGCGTCACTAATCTAATGTTTTGTAACTTTCTAGATCTATAAAGTCACCAGCAATGCACCAAAGGTAAATTCAAAACTGTTGAGAAAAGTGTTCAGTTCATACTGTTGTTAGCGTGCAGATATTAGATTAAGATGAAATACAGTGATATCGTCATATTTACCCACGTTGAATAGCTTCGTAACTTCAGCCGAGAAACTGTAGTTTTTGGCGGTCATTTAAGACATTAACTTGGTCACCAGACAGAATTTATCTATCTAATTCCAAAATTGTCCTCGTGCATAATTTCCGGTGCGTGACTATTGTCCGTGTGTATGATACACATCTCCCCTTTACGTTACATTCAAGATACAGTCAAGTTTTTGAGGAGTCGACATATCAAGAAGCCTTTTCAAAACTGGGCATACGCTTTAATTGATATAGATTATGTAGATTTCCTGTTCAACAATTTTTTTGTTTGTATGGAAGCCAGTTTTGGGTGCCAAAATAAAAACTAAACAATGGTGGTTCTTTCGTTTTTCCAAGTCGGAACGCGGTGTCAAACCTTAATTTCATCCGTCGCTTTCCGCGACGGCATAATGTCACCGATATTCGGCACACTGTCAGTCACATTTTCTTTGTCGTGTTTCAGAATGTTAGCTTTTATCTACAAATTTGCTTTCCTAATATTGTTCGCAGTGAACAAGACTCACTTCCGTTTCTTTCATTACTCTTAGCAACGTTTCAAGAGACTGACGCAGATTCGCATTTTTGACCTGATTTCAGCATTTTCCCCTGAGAAGACCTCGATGTTTATTGTAAAATCATGGAACGTTTTGTTAATAAAATCTCGGATATCTTTAACGTCTTCAACGTTTGTTCGTAGCCCACAAATTTCTGGTCCGAATTCTCTTTTAAGTGATTCCTTAAGCGTCTTAAACTCCCTCTTCAAATCTTTCCTCAGTTCATTGCACACCGCTGCAAGATCCCTAGACATGTTCCAAAACAAACATGGTTACAGAACTATATGAGAGAACCATATTAATTTACCAGTATGAATATAGAGCACGGCGCAGTTAGCCTGGAAATGCCATCGGCAGTTCTTCAGAATGTGTTCATCCTTTAGAAATCTGCCCTCTCTAACCTATGCCCGCGAGGAACATTCTTGCAATCAAAACTTTGAAAAATGCCTTTTCACCAGTAAATTAAACCTGCTGAGAGATAAAGAACATGCGGACAAGCTCATTCTTTACATCATGCTCGGAGTCACAGTGCTAAGCTTATTTGTAAGTGAAGATCATTTTTATTTAAACGATTTCATTCGCTTTGATTCTGCTGAGGATCAGACTGATTGTATAAACTAGAGCTTTGTTGGACAGTGGACACGCAGGTATTTTTAGAAATAGCTCGGCAGAGGCACTAAGACAGAGTAGCATTGGTTAACGTCGTATACTATGAAAGCAAACATAATAAGCTACGCACTCACCCGTAAACGACCCTCGTCCCCACACCAAGCATAACTGCTGTTAGCACCATGGAATGATTCCTCACCCGGAAGTCTAAGAATAAACAAAGTTTGCAGAAAATCATCCACTTGAGTGTGTGTAACCTTTGTATCATTTTTGTTTTGTCGTCGTAGCGCACGGTGTCCATTTTCTGTCTCCAGAAGATATCGCTCTTCTTTGAGTTTCAAGTTCGGAACGCACGCGGCGTTATATCTCATGAAGGACTTCGCTGAAAGCGAGCACGTTGAGAGCGATATACTTTTTTTTGCGTGTTGTTTAATGTTGCTTAAAGATAAAAGCCATTTTCGACTAATGCTAAGTGCTGTGCGCGCGAAGTAAATTGAGTGAGTGAAAATATCCCATTCAATGGTCGTGATACATTACTCATCTATCGGCATCAGGTGAAAGGGAAGGAGACTTGCACAAAGCTCTGCAGGTCTGCCTTCCGCAAGTACGCGAGAAGCGAGTTTAGGACCGTTTTCCGGTGTTATGTGTCGAGTTTCCTAGGTTGGGGTGCCCCCAACAGCTGTGAAATGAGCGACCATCCAGTCCAGGCTCCCAGGCAGAAAAACGTCTTTATCTCGTGCATTCCTTTCGAGCCGTCCGCACGTGCCTCGTGCCAGCCACGTCGCACGTGGTTCACTCAACAATCACCACATTATGGAGGTTCCGCCCCGTAGGTTGAGCCCATATGCGTAACTGTTTCCTAGGTTATTCTATGTCTTCAGGTCGCTGATTCCACGTGGCGTCCCATTGCACTTGTAGCACCGGGCATACCCAAAAAAGGTGCCGTACATTGGCAGTTGGAGCCTCAAGCATTTCTGGGGTACACCAAAGTGCTAGAGCTTACTACGAAAACAAACCTATTACGCTTGTTATGGTTGTACATTACGTCCACTGCGTCTTTGTCTGGCAACAATACGTGATTTGCTCGCGTTTTTTAGAGGCTCTCAACGACTCGACGTCACCGACTGCTCGTGAACGTGCACCAGCAGCTATTGGCAACGGGCACTACCAAAGGTGTCGCTTTGGTCGGCCTTCCACAATTGGCCCAACGCTCACTATTACATCGTCTGTACCTTGATTTTTTGTTCAATAATAAAAATAAAGGAATTTTAGCGTCACAACTTCCACGATGTTAGGTTAAGAACACGAATGACTACATGTTTCTAGCGGGCTTTTTATACGCGCCATCGAAATGGTCGCTGGCAATTATAATCTATGTCTTGACGTCACCGAAAGGAACCATAAGAGGGGGCCACCGAAATATCTTGTCGCAAATAGTAAAATACAATTTGAGGATGCGCCAGAAGCTTTTCTTATACCCTTATAGTCCCCAACCAGCGTTACAATGCACAGTGCCTTTAGATAGCTATTGAGGGGCACCTCGCGCTCACATCAATGGGGATTGGTGCAAACAGCTTGCCTGCAAAAAAAAACAAAAACATTAAACTAAAAAGAAAAAGTTGAGCAATTGAGCGTTTCCCTCACGAACAACCTGGACGACGCAAACGTCCATCTCTTCCAGAAATGCACCTGACTTAACACGAAGTTGCTACAGCCCTTTCTGGTTGGTCCGTTGAATGACTAAGTGCCCTGCTGGTACGGTGTTGTGTTTATTTTGCGCTCTCTTACCTCGTATCCAACTATATGCTG